TCCTTTTTGGCTGCTACCATGGCCAGCCAGCCACCATCTGGTCCCTGGGCATCCTGCTCTGTGAGCTGGTCTGCGGGCACCTTCCTTTCCACACCAACGAGGACATCGTCCGGGGCCAGCTCTTCTTCCCACCCCAGATGTCTCAAGGTGGGGATGTGCCTTCAAGGCACGAGGGGAAGAACGGGGTTGTGAGAGGCAGCTGGCACATAAGCGTCCTGCTCTTGCAGCTGGTGAGGAGGTGGATCTCCTGGGCTCAGCTGAAGGAGGTGGCACCTGTGCCTCTGTGCTGGTGTCCTCCGCAAGAGAGAATCGATAGGAAGCTTTTGGGTGCAGCTCTGAGCACTCCTGGTGTGGCCTGGGCACTGTGGAATGTGGGAGGGCATGGACTGGAGCCTTGTCCTGCTGAGCAGTGGTTTCTGGTTTCTCTCTGCAGAGTGCCAGCACCTCATCAGGTGGTGTTTCTGCATGGACCCCACAGACAGGCCATCACTGGAGGACCTTTTTGAGCATTCTTGGCTGCAGGAGCCCTGCCTGGCCCAGGAGACAGCAGAGATGCATCCCTGTGCACAGTAGGATCCAGGAGCCAGCAAGTAGCAGCGGCACGCGTCTCATGGTGCTGGAAGAAAATCCCGGAGCGTTTCCCTGTAGCCACGGCACGGAGGAGAGAGCGCAGCCGAGGAGATGCTTCCTCTGGTCCCCATGAGCTGTGGAGGGAGCGGCTCCATGCTGCCTGTCCCATTGGAGAAGTGGTGGCAGTGCGGTGAAGGTGCCACAGACTGAGACAGGGGAAACATCCCCCTGCAGCTCAATGGCATCGTGATGTCCCCGCAAGCCGAGGCACAGCTGGTGTGTTCTTCTGGTGCACAACGTGGAGCTGGGAACACCATTCATAGAGCAAAGGTTATTACAGCCGGGTGCATCTTGGCACTCAGCCAGGAGCACCCTGTTACCTTTGGGGATCCCCCTAAAATACCTTTCCCCTTACATCAGCCTGTTGCGTATTCATAGACCCTCATGCATATCCATAATCTACTTTACATATTCGAGGAACGATTTTACATGGCCCCTCCTTGGGTCTGCCTTTTCAGAGCATTTGTGTTTCTTGGCAGTGGTTTCGGCTCCTTCTCTTTATCACCTCCAGCTTTTGGGCCTTGGTCCACTCTGCTTTCAGACGGGGAGTGCTGATAGTTGGCAGATCTGTACAGGTGTCCTCATCCTGTGTGCATTGGATGTTATCCCATCCTGCATACTGGCAGTGAGTGCCACTACACTGAGGCTGACTGGGAGTGCTTGTAAACAAATGGGATCATACTGGAAGGAACTGGAAAGATGCTGGAGGGAACTGGGGTACACTGGGAGATACTGGGAGTGACGGGAAGGAAAGTGAGGGTGAAAGAGAGCAACTGGAACCACGTGGAGCACAACTGGTTCATACTGGCAGGAACTGGGAGCACACTGGGATCATCTTTGGATCATACTGGGAGGGACTGGACTAATACTGGGAGTAACTGAGAGTGACTGGGAACACACCCTGCACATCATCCCCCATACTGGGCCTGACTGGGAGCAACTGGGAGCACGCTGGCAGCAAATGGCGTCAAACTGGGACTGACTGGGTTGATCCAGGAAGCAACTGGAACCACGCTGGAGGCAGCTGGGACCATACTGGGAGAGATTGGAAGCAACTGGGATTATACTGGGACCACACTGGGAGGGCTGGCATGTGACTGGGATCAAACTGGAACTTACTGGGATCATACTGGGGTTGAAAGGGAGTGACTGGGATCACACTTTGGGCTACTGGGAGCAACTGAGAGAAAGTGGGATGATGCTGCAAGTAAACTGGAGGAACTGGGAGGGACTGGATGCATGCTGGAGGCAACTGGGATATACTGGGCATGACTGGGGGATCATACTGGGAGAACTGACACCTTACTGGGGCCACTGGCAGGGCCTGGTAATGACTACAGACATGCTGGGGGCAACTGGGATATACTGGGAGTGTCTGTAACCATACTGGGGGGACTGGAACCACACTGGGAACAACTGGGACCATGCTGGGGGCAACTGGGAGTCAGTGGGACTGTGCTGGGAGGGACTGGGATCATATGGGCCGTGACTGGGACTAGAGCAGGGGCAACTGGGTTCAACTGGGACCATACTGGGAGTGTCTGTAACCATAGGGGAGTGATGGAAGCACACTGGGAACAGCTGGGCCCATGCTGGGAGCAACTGGGATCACACTGGGGACACTGGCATCAGACTGGGAGTGACTGGGAGCAACTGGGATTAGACTGCAAGTGACTGGGATCATACTGGGAGTGGCTGGGATTATACTGGGTGTGAATGGAACCTGACTGGGGCTTACTGGGAGCTACTGGGCCCATGTTGGGAGGAAAATGTGACACACTGGGAGCAACTGGGATTGGCTGGAAGGTACTGGAACCATGCTGAGAGGACTGAGACTACAATGGGGCAACTGGGAACATACTGGGAGCAACTGGAGCCACACTTTGTGAAACAGATGGAAACTGGGATTCTGCTACAGGAAACTGGGAGTAACTGGGAAAGACTGGGATCATTCTGAGCTAACTAAAACAAACTGGGAGTGTCTCTAACCATACTGGGGGGACTGGAACCACACTGGCAACAGCTGGGATCATGCTGGGAGCAACTGGGACAATGCTGGGGGAAACTGAATCTACCCTGGAGGCAACTGGGCATGACTGGGACCCTGCTGGGAGGGACTGGGACTATTCTTGGAGCAACTGGGATCATAATGGGAGGAACTGGGAACATCTGGAATTATGCTGGGAACAACTGGGATCACACTGGGATCACAGTGAGAGCAGCTGAGTCCATACTGGGTTACACTGGGATCTCATTGAGAGCGACTGGAATCATACTGGGATTGACTGGGAGTGGCTGGTTTTGTGGATTTTGGGGGGTTTGATTGGCATTTTGAGGGGGAGTTTTTCTGGGGGTGTTTGGGGGTTTATTGAAAATTTTTGTAGCTTTTTTTGAATTTGGGGGTTTTTGAATTTACTGGGATTTTGTAAGGATTTTTTGGGATTCTCAGAAATTCTGGAGGTTTTATTGGGATTTTCAGGAGACTCTGTGGGCATTTTATTGGCATTGTGGGGACATTCAGTGGGATTCACTGGGGATTTCGGGTTTTTTGGGATTTTTGGTGGGATTTTTTGGGAGTTGCCAGGATTTCTTTGGATCTTGGGAGGAGATTTTGTGGGACATTTTATGGTTTTGGGGACATTTTTGGGGGATTTGCAGAGTTTAATCAGGATTTTTGGGATGATTAGGATTTCAAGAGATTTTTGGGCTTTTATTGGGATTCTAGGGTGTTTTAATGGCATTTTGAGAGATTTAATTGGGATTCAGTGGGTTTTATTGGGACTTTTGGGGCTTTTAAGGAGATTTTGGTGCCTCTGAGTTTGTCACCACACCCTGGGAATGCTCCAAAGCCCCCCTAGAATTCCACTAAAACGCCACAAAATCCCCAATAAGTATAAGAAAACCCTCAAAAACCCCAGAGAATCTCTAAAAATCTCAGTGGAACTCACCAAAATTTAAAAAAATTCCCAAAAACTTCAATAAATTCCCCCCCAAGAAAACCCCAAAACCCCAACAAAACACCCCAAATCCAAAATCCCCCAAATCAACAAAACCCCCCAAAATCATGCAACCATCCCAAAACCCAATAATTCTCTCCAAAAACCCCAATAATTCTCCCCAAACTCCCAACAAAATCCCCTAATGCCCAAAAAAGCCACTCCGAAATCCTCAAAATCCCTCTCAAAATCCCAAAATCCCCACAAATCCCCCCAGAACCCCCCAGACTTAGTGGGGCCGTCCTGGATCAGGGGGCACCGGCCGGTGGAACAGCAGACACTTCAGGAGCCCTCGGAGCTTTTTGGGGAGGGGGCACCATGGGAGACGCCCCAAAAACCGGGGAGGGAACCCCTGCTATGCCCCCTTCCCCTGAAACCCCCAGACCCCGGTTCAGGGTGGGCCTGGGACCCCGCGGGACCCCCAAATCTCCCCCGGACCCCTCCAGGATCCCCAAACCCCCCACAGCTCCCCCAGTGTTGGCCCAGAACCACCCTGGACTCCAAAACCTCCCCAGGACTCTCAGACCCTCCATTTCACCCCAAAATTCACCCCAGACCCACCTGAGACCCCCCCTTAAATCCACCAGACTGCCCTACATCCCCCTCAGACCCCTCAATGCCCCCAAACCCTATGAAATCCCCTCGGACTCCCCCAAATTCCCCCCAGACCCACCTCTAACCCCAGATCCGCTCAGAACCCCCCAGTTCCTCTCACAATCCACCAAAATCCCCTCAGACCCTCCCAATTCCCCTCAGATGCCCCTAAACCCACCTGAGAACTTTCCAGACCCTCTCAAGCCTCCCCCAAAGCTGCCTAAAGCCTCCTCAGACCCACCAAAGCCCTCTCAGACCCCCTCATTCAATCCAAACCCAACGCACAGCCCCCGCGTTTCCCCTCGATGCCCCCAAAAATCCCCAATTTCCCCTCAGATCCGCCCCAAACCCCCCCAGTTTCCCCGGCCTCACCTCAGCCGCTCTCCCCTCACAATCTCCCGCCTCTGCCGCGTGCGCGGGCTCCCAACTATGGCGGCGCGCCCCGCCCCGAGCCAACCAATCACTGCGCTGCAAGTCCCTGAACTAACCAGTCACGGCGCGGCTCTCCGCAGGAACGCCCGCCTTCCCCGCGCCACCCCAGCCAATCAGAGGCGAGCCGGAAGCGGCGCCCCTTTCCCCGCCGGGACCGGCCGGGCTCGGGACAGGAGCGGGAGGGGCCTGAGAGGGGATCGGGGGGGGGGGGGGCGGGGGAGGGTCCGGGGGAGGGTCCGGGGGGCTCTGGGGGGACTTTGGGGAGGGGTCCGGGGGTTTGGGGAGGTCAGGGGGGTCTGGAGAGGGGGCCTGGGGCATTGTGGGGGACCTGGGGGGCGCTGATTGGTCCTAAGAGGGGTCTAGGGGGGGGGGAGGGGACGTCGTGGGAGGGTCTGGGGGGGTTTTGGGGAGGGGTCGTAGGAAGGTCTTGGGAGGGTCTGGGGGCGTTGGGATGGTCCTGGAGGGAGTTTGGGGAGGGCTCTGGGAGGTCCTGAGGGTGTCCTGGGAGGGTTTTGGGGAGGGGCTCTGGGGGCTCTAGCAGTGTGATGAACAGGGCCATTGGAGCAGCTCCTTTCCAAAGGCCTTTATTAAAGACAGCTCTGGGTGCGGAACCCGAGGGGTCGCGCACGGCGCCGCTGCTCCCACAGGACCGCGCTGAGCAGCAGCAGCAGCAGCAGCGCAGCTTTGTCTCCCGGCACAGATGGGGCTTCCGGCCTCACCAGAGTCCTTAGGAAGGGAACGTTGGCTTGGAGCTTAGGGGGATCCTCCAAGCCGAGCACTATTAAAATTATGGTGGCAGGATGGAATCCGGCTCTGGTCAAGGGTGGGTGATTTAGTGTGGTTCTGCTGGGTTAAAGTCATCATTTATGTGCTGGTTTGTTGTTTGAGAGGGTTCATGGAGTTCCCATAGCCTCTCAGTTTAATTCAGTCTTGGAAGGGAAGGGATACAAATCCAGGCTGAGACGGAAAGAGGCACAAATACAGAGTATGCCGGGGAGAGATACAAATACAGGGTAAAATGGGTGACACTGAATAGCGGCAACTAAAGGCAAGTCCTAGAACTGTAACATTCAATGTTTAACAACAGACCAACACTTCAAATTCAGACCCTATCAACTTCATTAACATCAACCAGCAATTACTGCTCTGAAAAAGAGCTCTCATCTCCAGCGTTTCATTTCTCAAATCTATTGGAGCAAACATGAGCAATGTGCCCTGCTGGTGTTTAGATGTTCTGAGTCCCTCAGCTGTGAGTTGGGTTCCTGTGCTGTCTTGCCTGGTGCTTGCTGGATGTGCTGGAACAAAGACCTTGGGCCCTTGATGGAAATGACCACAAATGAGTTCCTTGTGATTTACTGGGCTCAGAGTAACAGGGATCAAATTCAGGTTTGATCTAGAAAATGCTTCTTCCCTGTGAGGGTGGTGAAGTCCTGGCTTCACAGGTTGCTCAGAGAAGTAGAGTAAATTAAGTTTCAGAATTCTTCCTTTCTGTCCCATTCCTATTCCGTAAGTTCAGGTTTGGTTTTCAGAGTGCCACCTTCTTTGCTGGTTGCCGTTTGTGTCCTGCATTCTCTCCTGCCTCCCTTTGTCTGCTCCTTTTCCCTTCCAGGGTCTCTCTTTACCTGTGGCAGCTCCCAGACAAAGACCCTCCCCTGATTTTTTTTTCCTTCCCCATCCAGGTGCTCAAACAGCCCTGGATGAAGTTACGGAAGCTGGCAGTGAAATGTCTGTGTAAGATCTTGCTGCACTTGTGTCTTGGCCCCTTCAGAATTTGGCCTTGAAGGGCAGGAGCATCTTTTCCTTGCTGGCAGCTGGAATTGCAGCCCATGGCAGTGTGTGCCAGACATGTCAGAGGGCAATTGCTGAGGCTGCCGGGGCACTGCTCCTGCCAGGGGAGCTGTGCAGGGCAGGGTCAGGCTGCAGCACCTGGCTGGGCTCCCTGAGCAGACAGCAAAGGTGGCTTTGCTGCACATTCTGCAGCTGGGAACAGAGGGAAGAAGGGCAGGGAGTCCCTGACAGAATCCTGGAATGCTTGCGGCTGGAAGGAACCTGCCCCCAGACCCCAGTCGGGCCCAGCCCTGGATGTCTCCAGAGATTCCCCCAGACCCTCTCCCCAAACCCTTCCAGAACCCCTCCCCAAAACCTCCAAAACCCTCCCAGGACACCCTCAGGACCCCCCAGAGCCCTCCCCAAACTACCCCCAGGACCATCCCAACACCCCCAGACCCTCCCAAGACCTTCCTATGACCCCCCCCCCCCAAAACCCCCCCAGACCCTCCCACGACCCCCCCGCCTCCCCGCAAGACCCCTCTTAAGAGCCATCCGCACCACCCAGGTCCCCACACAATGCCCCAGGACCCCTCCCCAGACCCCTCAGACCCCCCTAAACCCCCGGAACCCTCCCCAAAGCCCCCCCAGACACCCCCGGACCCTTCTCCGCCCCCCCAATCCCCTCTCAGGCTGCAACTGGAACCATGCTAGGGGCAATTGGGATCCTACTGGGATCACAGTGGAATCAGCTGGGCCCACACTCGGGAAGAATGGGATCATACTGGATCACACTTTCAGCAACTGGGACTGCATTGAGAGTGGCTGTGAGCAACTGGGATCAGGCTGGAAGCCACTCCAACCAACTGGGAGTGACTGGGAACATGCTGGGGCAACTGGGTTTTCCTGGGAGAGACTGAAACCATAGTGAGGGTAAATGGGAGCAACTGGAACCATGCTGAGTGATAATGGGAGCAGCTGTGTCCATGCTGGGGTCATACTGGGATCACACTGGCACTGACTAGGATCATACAGGGTGTGACTGGAAGAGTACTGGGAGTATCTGAGAGTGACTGGGATCCTACTGGAACCAGACTGAGAGTGACTGGAAAGGTGCTGGCCGTGACTGGAACCATACTGGAGGTGAATGGGAGCAACTGGGCCCACACTGGGAGTGACATGGAGTCACTCTGGCCATGACTGGAATAACACTGGGAGGATCTGGGAGTGACTGGGGGTCATACTGGTGGTGACTGGGAGCAACTGGGATCATAGTGAAAGGGACTGGGATTGTAGCAGGAGTTTCTGGGATCATTCTTGGAGCCACTGGGATTGCAATGGGTGTGAATGGATCCTGACTGGGGGTTACTGGGAGCTACTGGGCCCATGTTGGAAGGAAAATGTGGAAACATTGGGAACAACTGGAATCAGCTGGAAGGTACTGGAACCATGCTGAGAGGACTGAGACTACAACTGGGATCATAGTGGGAGCAACTGGGACTACACTTTGGGCAACTGACAGAAACTGGGATCATGCTGGAGGCAACTGGGAGTAATTGGGAAAGACTGGGATCATTCTCAGGTAACTAAAGCCTTACTGGGGCAACTAGGATAAACTGGGAGTGTTTGTAACCACAGTGGGGGGACTGGAACCACACTGGGAACAGCCGAGACCATGCTGGGGACAACTGGGAGTGACTGGGACCATGCTGGGAGGGACTGGGACTATTCTAGGGACAACTGGGATCATGCTGGGATCACAGTGAGAGCAGGTGGGTCCATGCTGGGTTAGACTGGGATCACACTGAGGGTGATTGGAATCATGCTGGGATTGATTAGGAGTGGCTGTGAGCAACTGGAATTGTGCTAAAAGCAACTGGGAGAAAGTGGGAGTGACTGGGAGCATGTGGGGGAGGTGACTGGGATATACTGGGAGAGACAGAGAGTCACTGGGATCACACTGGAGGCTACTGGGGTCAGGCTGGAATTTACAGGGAGCAACTGGGATCACACTGGGGCACTGGTATCAGACTGGGAATGATGGGATCATACTGGGAGTGGCCACAATCATACTGGGAGCAGAGTGGGTGTGACTGGACCCTGAATGGGGGTTACTGGGAGCTACCAAGCCCATTCTGGGAGCCAACTGGGGGCATAATCAGAGGAAATGGGAGCAACTGGGATAAAACGGAGGGCAAGTGAACCACGCTGAGGTAACTGGGAGTGCCTGGCAATGACTATGACAATGTTCAGGGCAACTGGGATGTACTGGGAGGGTGTGAGACCATACAGGTGGTGACTGGGACCAAATTGGGAGCAACAGGGAATGTGCTGGGGGAACTGGGAACATGCTGTGGGCAAGGGAGAGTGACTGGGGCCCTGCTGGGAGAGACTGGGATCATACTGGGAGTGACTGGGGTAACTGGGAGAACTGGGAACACGCAGGATGAAAGCAGCAGGAACTGGGAGCAACTGGGACCTTGCTGGGAGCAAATTACAGCCTGTCTCCTCCTCCTGCCCCGTTCCCGAAGGCCGAACCGTGAGGGGAAAGGGGCGGGGAAAGGGCGGGAACCGTGAGGGGAAAGGGGTGGGGCCAAGGGGACGCGCGGTCCTAAAAGGGCCCGGTTTGTTTTAAAATCATCCAAAAGCGCCTCAAATGCAGGTGACATCCTAAAATCAGCCAAACGGGATTAAAATTATCCACAGGGGTCTAAAATCCAACTAAAGGGGCCTAAAATTGCCCAAACTGGTTTACACCTCCCTCAAAATGGCCTAAAATCAGCCTTAAATCTCCAAAACGGGCTTCAAATCCACCCTGAAAGCACCTGCTTTGGCTTAAAATCTCCCAAACGAGCTTAAAATCCATCTGTCTTTGCCAAAAATCACCTAAATTGACCAAAAATCAGGCAAATGTGCCTGAAAGCAACACAAAACGACCTAAAATCACCCTAAATGACTTGGTTTGACCTAAAATTATGCAAAGAAGCAAAATCCTACTCAAACGGGCCCAAAATCTAAAAAAAAAAAAAAAAGAACCTAAAATCACTCACACAGGATTAAATTCACACATATGGGCCTCAAATCACCCAAAGGGATCTAAAATCCCCCCTCCAACCCACCAGATTCAGCCTCAAATCAGCCTAAGGGGCCTAAAATCCACCCTGCAAGCCTGGGAATGGCTGCCAGGGATCTGAGCCCACCCTAAACCTGCCCAGGGTGGCCCAAAACGCCCCGAGGGGCCGAGGCTGAGGCCGAGCCCGGGATGGGCTCCGGGCTCGCTCCGGGCCCTCCGCCTTCGCTCCGGGGAGTTTTGGCCGCGGCCCCGGACGGGCCGGGGCGGGACTGGGAGGGACCAGGGAGGGCTGGGCAGGGCTGCGGCATTTGGGGCTTTGGGGCTGGGGGAGTTTGTTGGGAGTTCAGGGGCAATTATTGGGGTTTTGGAGAGAGTGATTGGGTTTGGGGCAGTTGGGGAATTTTGGGGGATTTTGTAGATTTTGGGAGGTTTGGGTTATGCCGGAAGGGTTATTGTGGGGTATTTTTTTCTGGAGGTTTTTGGGGGTTTATTGAAAAATTTTCTTTTTTTTATAATTGG